AGCTAGTTCTCTCTGTCACACGTGCATTCACATGACCTAATATTACATTTTTGCTGACCCATGCATCCAATCCAGAACTTCATCCTGGCTGCTTTTGGTATCTAACTCTGGAAATGTTTCTTTCTCATTATCTTTTAGGTTAGAACTTTTCTTCTCCCATCTTCACTTGTTATAAGAATATTTACAGTTTCTAGTGTTACAGGGTTGTTTTCAAATTCACAGTTTATTGTCTGGATGGCAAATACTAATTTTTCCCCAGGCAAAGTAAATGTATTTCACCTTGTGTGCAAAGAGAATTAAAAGGAGGGCCACCTTTCTTCTAGTTTGGCTGTATCATCCCTGATATTAACTGTATCTTGGACTGCATTGCTCAGTGTAGCAACTATATTAACTACCTCCTGGTAGTGATGTCGCGAACACGAAATTTTCGGTTCGCAAACGGCGAACGCGAACTTCCGCAAATGTTCGCGAACCGGCGAACCGCCATAGACTTCAATGGGCAGGCGAATTTTAAAACACACAGGGACTCTTTCTGGCCACAATAGGGATGGAAAAGTTGTTTCAAGGGGACTAACACCTGGACTGTGGCATGCCGGAGGGGGATCCATGGCAAAACTCCCATGGAAAATTACACAGTTGATACAGAGTCTGGTTTTAATCCATAAAGGGCAGAAATCACCTAACATTCCTAAATCACAATGAATATGGATTGACACCGGACATATGACATATTGACACCTTGACATATGGATTGACACCTGTCCTCAGAGCCCCTGATGCACACAGACACAGAGCAGAATAGGGACTGGTCCCCCTACATAGGGTCACTTGGCAGATATGGATTGACACCTGTCATCAGAGACCATGATACACACTGACACAGAGCAGAATAGAGACTGTTCCTCCTACATAGGGTCACTTGGCAGATATGGATTGACACCTGTCCTCAGAGACCATGATACACACTGACACAGAGCAGAATAGAGACTGTTCTCCCACATAGGGTCACTTGGCAGATATGGATTGACACCTGTCTTCAGGGATCATGATACACACTGACACAGAGCAGAATAGAGACTGTTCTCCTACATAGGGTCACTTGGCAGATATGGATTGACACCTGTCCTCAGAGCTCCCTGATACACACTGACACAGATCAGAATAGGGACTGTTACTCTACATAGGTCACTTGGCAGATATGGATTGACACCTGTCCTCAGAGACTCCATGTGATACACCGGACATTTCATAGAAATAGAGACTGTTCCCCTACATAGTCACTTGGTGATAAGTGATTGGACACCTGTCTCAGAGACCATGATACACCTGACACAGAGCAGAATAGGGACTGTTCCCCTACATCGTCACTTGGTGATAAGGGCTGACACCTTTGTTAAGCAAACCAAGGCTTGTAACGGGCCCTTTAAATGGCAAATTGCCCTGTTTCCCTGGGTTGTGGAGAAGCCTCTTTGCCAGCCTCCTCCCGCATGACTATGGCCCCTGGGAGATTGTGAAAATGTATGCACTTTTTATTTGGTGTGTATGGCCCTTTAAGACTGTCGGTGGGCATATTGGGGCTTATGGACTCTTTATGTGACTGGTGCTGGCCCTTTAAACACCTTTTTTGGGACATCAGGAAGATTGGGACACTGCCCCTTTAAGGCCGTGTCCCCAGACTTGTTGGGGACACGGCCCCTTTAAGACGGTGTCACCTGTGTCCCCAGACCTGGTGCAAACCCTTTGTGCCTGCCTGGCTATTTCCTACTTGGTTCAGTAAATGGG